TAATGATATGCATATAGAAATCATCACAGATCTCAAAACATAAGTGAAATTGTTTACAAGATCGACATATATACTTAGCTCTAAACTCAGATTCAAACTACACACCAGCAAGTGCGAAGTATGCTTAGCCTGTATAAAAATATACTCTTGCCTTATCTCTTTCAGTATTAGCTACTTTCAAAGCTCTTTTGTAATATCCAAGAGCCTTGTGATAGGAGTATTTCTAATTATCAAAATCTCTTTCCTTTTACTTGCTAGAATTAATGCATCTCTATGCTTTTAATAAAAGAGTATTAAACTAAGCTAGATTTAGCTTTTATGACAATTGATGCTATTCCGGATTCAAAATAACCTTATTCTCATTAGTAAAGTTTTTTATGCTTGACCTGCTTTGTTTTGATAGTTAACTTAGATTTGAGGCCTCACTTGGATTTTGAATTAGCTAGCTATTAAATTCAGATACATCAGCTTCTTCCAAATCTGAACTGTAGAGATCGTCATCTTCTGGGTCATCATCCTCATTTTCATCTTTTTCCTCTGTGTCCTCATCCTCCTCAGAATAAAGCTCTTCACTGCTATCCTTGTCTTCATCTTCTTCATCACAAGATCCACTCTCCTCTCCGTTTGAATAATCACTCATTATTTATATTTATATTGCAATTAGAAATTACAATTAAAACATCCATCTAAACTAAGACTAATCTTAAAATTTGGTGTTTTAAATATTTATTAAGCAAATTAACATCTAAATTTCTCGCTTTATTTTACTTATATTAATATTCATTAATTACTGATTCAATAAAATTTCAATTGTGCATTCAAATGCTTTGTTATTTCTTCTGCTACACTCTGGAATTCCTACTCCTCTGATGCTTACTTATCTGGGTGAAATATTTGGATAAATTTTAGAATCTGCTTTCTAACTTTTGTAGGCTCGACATACTTCTACACTAACTCGATATCACCAACTTTATCCTTAAAGGTATTTTTTATGAATTTTAGAAACTCGAAAATTGTCTTTTTAGCTTGATCTTCTAAATCAACTAAAATCTTTTTATAGTCAAATTTCTAGATCCAAGTCTTTTTAAATGTTTATTATTTTTTTTCTCCCCCATTTTTTACATTTTCTTAAACTTTACACTTACCATTTGATTCTTTGCTTTATTATTATTATTATTATTGTGACTAAGGATTCCTTGATTTGATTATTTGTTAAATTTGATCTAACATTTATTTTGCTTCAAGACATTTTTTCTGAATGCTCTCACTTTTATCCTTAATCATTTATGCTTATACTTGAAAGTTTATAAAATGACTTTTAGCTTAGTCAAGGTCCTTTTAGGTATGCCCATTATGCAGGATTATTCTTCCTAGCTTGAAGTGGCAGATTGACTCAGTTTCAGGATCTCTATCATGGCAAATTTTAAGTGAAAGTCGATACTGCTCCATAGCTTCTTTGATTTTACCACCTTATGCGTAGATGTTTCCTAGCTAGGCACAATTCTTTGCTTCAACTACATCTCTTTCCTTAGCTTTGCGTCTTTTCATTTTAGATATCTCCTCAAGTTTCAATTCAATGATCTAATTATCTTAAATTCCAATTGTTTAACTTATTGATTTACACTACTCCAAATACCTTTAGGCATTTTCAAGATCACCACGACAATCAGCAATTTCACTGGCAATCTTGTAGTATACAGAGTAGAGTTCTGATCCTACAAAATTTGTTAGTCTAACTAGCTTCTTATGAATATTTGAGAATATCATCTCAAAAAGTGTGCATAAAAACTCTGAATCTTCAATTTTATCTATTAACTGCTTTTAGACTAATTGTGTTACTTTTTACTGCATCTCATTTATAATTATTTTATCAAACTCATTGCTCAAATCAAGAGCACTCTTTAGACATTCGCAAGCTTTTGCCAGATGCTTGCCTTTCATATCATGCTCATACTATCTTGGGCATAAATCAATATGGCAATCGGCTATAAGCATGTATAACCTAGATTGATCTTTCTTCGATCTTGAATGTTGAAAAGCTCACCTATAATATCCCATAGCTTTAGAAATATAATGCCTAACAGTATCTTTACTAATTGACTTAGAGTCTTTTGAATAGTTTAATGATTTGCCTGCCTTCATGATCAGTATCTTATAGTCTTTAGTAACCTTATCTTAGGAACTATTGTTTCCTCCTTTCTTTTTGCCATTTTTACGTTTACTGTTGTCTGAGGAGCTAGAACTTGATACATTTGACTATTGACTGCTACTACTTTCAGAGTTGTCACAATTTGATACTGAATCATTATCTTCAAATATGGTACCAAATTATGCTTTAAGTCTATCCTTGAAAGGATCTAAGTCTTTTTCTTTTTCATCAGATTCAAACTTACTTTTGAACTATACTTAGCTGAATTTTGAATTATTAGTATTAACGCTGTTACTAAAATGAACTTATTTTTAAGGATTCGTCTTAACCGAGCTCTTCAAAATAGAGGGATTGATCTTAACTTGATGTGATGGGATCTTTACAGGCTTTTTAATATCCGCAAATGTCAAATTATCATCTTATGTCAATTTATCTCCTTTGAATGCTTGTTAGCTAGGGGGACTCTTGAACTCGAATTTTTCATCTTCATCACTTAGTACATTAGGATCAACTATTTTCACTTTAGATTTGGGTTTAACTGTACTTTTAGTCTCAGTTTTCTCCTCTACAGAGTTAGAAATCATCCCTTCATAGTCCTTTTTCTATTTTGGCCCATCTTAAATCCTTTACTTAAACATTTCCTTGTAAGTCTACTGCTTGAGGCCATTCATAATTACTTCGTTCATAAAATCTACTCCATTTTCATTGTAATCTGGCTCATAATATTCACTTCCACTGTCTCCCTCATTGTTTCTTGGTCTACCTCTTCTTATTCCATCAGGCAATCTTTCAGCCTTTTCTTTTTCTCTTCTTGCTCTTTTTCCTAATAATGTTCTTCCTCTTCCCATAACTTTCTAATGTTTTTAACTTGGTATATTTAAGCTTATACTTATCTGAAATGAAGTAAGTCTAGTCTAGATATGCAAAAGAGCTGTTTGGTGAACGACTCTAATTGTTGGAATGAATTAAAC